GAGACAAGACCTAGAGAGTTTGGGGGGAACTGGGGCTCCCTGTCCCACACCCTAGCTGCCCATGTCCAGTTGGGGGCCCCAGCCCCCTTCCTCCCAGCTCAGTCAATACTTGAATTCCCATCATGGGCACTTTCAATCCAGAATGCTGGGTCTTGGGTTTTTTAATTCATCTTTTCACAAAATGTGGGCTTTTAAAAGAAATATTCCTACAGTGAATTTTTTTAAATCCCTGTCCCCAGGGAGGGTGGGAGCTGTTGCTAGACCTGCCTCAATTAGGCCAATTTTCCCTGATCCCCTCAGTACCCCCATAGATCCTGCCTCCACCCAATTCCCCACAAAGCACCACAGGCAAGAGACCTGGATTCAAGTGCCACTGACCCCATGGCTCTGGTTCACCCCTGCCCCCTCAACCAGTGTCTTCACATGTACGATGCTATGTGGGGTGGTGACCAGACCCCTCTTGCCTCCACAACTTACAGCTTCTACCCAGCCCCAAGACTACCCAGTATTTTATTGTCCAGACCCATGGCAGGGCCACCGGGCAGGACAAGGGAACAGGGGAGAGAACAATGGATACTCTTTGGGTTTTTTTTTTTTGTTTTTTTGGTTTTTTTTTTTTAAAGAAAATACAGTTTATTTCAGGCTTACAGAAACTTTTAGAGCACTGCTGTGCTCCATTTGTCCATCTGTTTATTTGTCCAAAGTACCAGGCTGCAAGCGTGGGCCCAGAAACTGTTCCCTTGCTGAGTTCTGAAGCTCAGCTACCAGAAGGCTGATGCCAACGCTACTTACAGAGTAAACAATAAGGTATTATTTATTGAGGTCTTAAGCCTCATCCCTAGACTTGGATGGGATGGAAATAAGAGTTTGTTAAAAGGTTGGAAGAGACAGAAAATAAAGCCCAGGTCCCCCAAGCTCACCACCTTGCCAAGGTCTTAAGACTTCCTGAAGGAACTCAGGGCTGGAGGCTGGGGTGTAGGGAGTGTTCCCAGAAGGCTCCAATTTCTGGGCAGGGGTACAGAGCTGCTGTGTGTGTGTATACACGGGTGAAGAGTGGGAGAGGTACTACAGCTTTCACTTATATCAACTAATCTTTCAGTTGCGTGTTCATGTCACCATTCCTGACCCAGCAAAAGTATTGGTTCCCTTATGCTGAGTATTGGTTCTGTTGGTCCTCTCTCTTCACAAGTCTACCTGCCTACTGTCAACAAGTATTTAGCTTCTCCTCCAGCCACACCCATACCCATTCATCCTTCCTTCTTCACAATGCACCCAAGAGGCACTGTGCTGGAAAACCAGGCCTTATCATTCAGGTAGTAACTTAAGGCCCAAGGGGATACAGTGAACCAGGTTCCATCAACCCAAGACAAAGGACCCTAGGGCTCTTCTTCCCCTGGAGGGAGCTGGACAGGGAAATAGGGAGAAGGTGGAGATGAGATAACCAGTCCAGAGGTCCACAACCCTCCAAAAAAAATCTCAAAACAACTAGCAAACAAGGGCCCAAACCATTTGTGGCCCCACTCATTTCTTTCTCCGGACGATGGTCCAGCCATCCTCCACTATATCCTCTTCCTTAATAGTCTGGGAGTCTGGACCAGAGGGTTCAGGCTGGCGGCTGACTCCATCTGTAGCTGCCCCATCATTCACAGCTGTGACCTGGAAGAGAAATGCAAAAGAGCTAAAAGCAACACCTCCCAGATGTGGCCACTGGAGACCCAGGCTCTCCTCCCAGCTTTGCAAGGATTGGCTGTGTGACCTTAGGTAAGTTCCCTGCCCTCTCTAGATAATGCAACCACCACCACCCCACCCCCATCACTTCCCTGTGAAGCTAGTTGATCTCCCAGAAAAGTGAAAATATCTGCATCTCCCCCACACAAGGGGCACCCCTTTACCTCCATCTCCTCCACATTGTCTGCATCATCCTTATCCGTCTCTCTAGCTGTTGTAAGTGCAGTGGCTCTAACCTCGCACTTTTTTTGAGTGATGTGGGAGGCCATCTCCTTCAGAGCAGTGCCATCACCCCTCTGGAAGTGGTGGAACAGGGTCTGCAGCTGTTGACTCACCTATCAAAACATTTAACCAGCTTGGATTTTTCTAGAGAACCTACAATACAACCAGCCCGTATTTGCAGCAAAAGTGGGGCGGGGTTTGGAATTTTCCAGAAGAAAATGGGGCTCTTTTCTCCCCTAAAGAGTTCACTAATGAAAAATCCACATATGAAGGGCTCAGGTAAGGGCCTGAAGCTTTGAAAGAGGGCCTCCTAGCAGGGAAGGCACTGGAACTGGTTTTGAAAGATGTAAGATGTAAAAAGGAAAGAAATCCCAGCAAGGGGAGTGATAGTGACCAGAGCAGGGGTGGAAATGTACCTGGCCTGACCTGCCCTTGGGATGGGGGTGAAGAACAGACCTGACTAAGAATGATATATGGAGTGAAATAAAAGAGTAGAGACAGGGTTTGGAAAGGCCTAGGACGATTAGACTTTTTCCACTGGGCAATAGGTAGTCATAAAGAATTCTTGTGCAAGACTTAGGAATGGTTGGAATCAAGAATCTTGGCCTAAAATAGATACTTTGGAAGAAAGACTGCAGGCAGGGAGATGGCAGTTGTGTCCACGACATGCTCACCTGGGGCAGACTCCCATCCTCTACAACCGTGTCAAATTCATTTGTCATGAGCTCTCCAAGGAAGTCTTCCACCTCATTTAGCTCCAAGTCAGCTGAGTAGAAAAGGATAGGGCCCTCTGGTCAATGATCAGCCAACTTCATCACTTCTGCCTGCTACTCTTCAATACCTACCTGCTGGGTCTACATTTGGTTGGTGGGTAAAGGGTCCAAACAGTGAGCCTTTTATTTGCTAAACTGTTCCACATTCCAAGTTTTAACATCACTTTTTTTTTTTAATTGAGAGACCCTTCACAACTTTGTCTCCACTGATATAGGTGGGCACAGACCAACGAGATAAGAAGAAATGGATATAAGTATTTGCAATGATGAAATCATCATAGCCTTGACATCAACATATTGTGACTGCCTAAACCCTCCTCTCTGGGCTTCAGTTACCTTATGAGCTCATGCTCTTTTTCTTTAATTAGAGAATTACTCAAAGTCTTTCACAAAGCTCCTTGTTCTATCTTCCTTTTGGTAGAGTTCATTCCCCCTTGGC